GAAGACAGATAGGTGGGCCGGATTTGCAATTACCATGGTTGTTCTTCTTAAGAAAGGCTTCTAAAATTTTACACATGACTTCATGGTCAGGGCATATCCTCTGTAGTAATATAACAATAATTACTGGGGTTTAATGTTACGAGACTACCATATAAATATTAGAGACGCCATAGTGAAGAGCTCCAGACATTTCGACCACTTGGTGTTATTTAACGTGAACGCAAATCTGAGGACATGGGATTCAAGCATTTTCGCCTTCATCCAAAACTCGGCTGCCTCGGCCGGTATTTGATCCCGCGACCTGCGGGTCACCAGTCACGTACCTTAGCCACTAGACTACCATGGAAGGTGTCCAGTGCATTCCTTCAGTATGTGTATTCGTCTTTTTGTGGTATTTTACAATGATGCAGTGGGTAACTCGCCAACTCGCAAAAGGAAAGATTTTGTTGTGCAGCACCCTAAAAAAAGGGCAGCGAGAATGGAGGAACGGGCTCCATTCTTCCTTCGGCGCAGTGACTTCCTCCCTTTCGGGCGCTTTACCCGTCGTGCCCTCTCGCAGCAAGGACCAAACGAGCAAAGTTCTCCTTCAGTGTTCAAGTTTCTCCTCAGTCACGGGGGTCTTGCGCGCGCGCATGCGCAGCTGAGCCTAGCCGGCCGCGGCCAGTCGCGAGCTATTGCTTTTGCCTAATATTGATGCGAGCAAAGCGGGAGTGACGTTTTTTTTTTTTTTGTTTATAGGCGTAGAGTAAAAGCCTCTGTTTTTTTTTATCGCCAGGCACTCGCACGATGCTTCGCACACCTCCGTATGCGTCTCGTGTTGTTTCATACTACGAATTTGTCACGAATAGAAGGAGCTCTGCTTCCCAAGCAGACTCGCTTTATGATGACTGTACACAAGTAATGAATTTTGCGGCGTCGACATACTTGATAACGCCACGCATTTTTAGTTTTGCACGGCACCAACAGCACTGATGAATTCAACGACGCGCATAAAAAAGCATCACACTTAATTTTTCAACATTCTAGGAAACTTGATACCACTCTAAAGTCCATGCGTGAAAGCTCGACCATATACAATTGACAGAGTTATACGTGCCACTACCGCCTTATGGGTGTGTTTTGCAGTTCACCCCAATTTGAATACGGCCGCCGTGACCGGCAGTCGAAGCTGCTTCCTCCAGCATAGTCAAACGACACCCAATAAGGCTATGCTACCACGGCAGGTGAAAGCACAATGGGAAACAGGCTGCGAAGTTTCACCAAGCGTTTATTTGCCAAAGTAGATTACAACCATCAGAAACGTTTTAAGCATTATCATAACTAAACCTTTGTGAAAAGTAAACCAACGACTTTTGTCAGTTAAACCAAATTCTCAATCACATGCGTTTTGTACTGTCCAAGCTAGCTCTGAGAGGTAAGACGGAATTATGCACGCGTGCAGTATGCATTTCTCGTCCATTATTCTTCTTTGTCGAGAGAAACTCAACACAAAATGCACTTGTAGTAACAGCTGTGCACAGCAGGTAAGTACTAACACTCACTCACCTTTGTGAAAAGAGTATTCCAAATCCAGAGTAATTACCACCACAGCCACAGCGCAAACAACAAAATTGTGGCGTGCTCTATGACTGCAAGTTGACAGGCGAGGCGAATCGCAAGAGGCATCTGAAGCAGAAAAGTATCTAGGTACACCATGCTATAACGTTATAGTACATTTGCGCACTGCAGCGCTAGTTCCTCCACTCAAGTAATAGACCTGCCGCGACGCTCACGAAAAAATACCGTTGGATGCGAGGTCATCGCTTATTTCTCTCGCAAGACCCGCGTTGCAACGTACGTATACACTGCTAGGTCGGTCGTTACCGCATCAAACACATTGTCATTGAAGGGCTAGTGGTGTACTGTATCCATTGGTAACGGTCACACTTGTGGTAAGCACGTATAAAGAATATAAGCAAACGTTAACACGAAACAACTGAACGAAATCGACGCGACCACAGAATACCTACCACGACGAAGACAAAGTCTGGTCTGCATTCTACGCCTTCTCCGAGTAGCAAGTGGAAGAATAAAAAAAGACGTGTCCTCCGACATGGCTAGCCCGCGGCAAGCGTTTACATTCTCGGAGGCTTCAAGAAAAAACATGACTGTGGCAGTGGTCGAGAGATAGCGCAGCGTTCGGAATACCGTGGTTATTCCATGCACGGTTTAGGGTAATCGCAATAACCAGATAAGCTCTAGTAATTATTCCGCTCATTATTGTGAAACGGTGAATAAAGCTCTGTGTGCCTAAGCATCAGATGCAACATATTTACGTGTGCGCATGTTGTGGTATTGCCAGAAAACGTAAAAAAAAAGTGTACGAAATCTTACTTGCAACTTGTGCCACTAAGGTCAGTCGAAATTCATTGCTACATAAGCTTGTGCGTTTTCGTAGTAGGGTGTCCTTGTGCGCTTTTGTAGTTGGGTGCACACACTTCGAGTTGTTAAACACGTCCAAGTGTGTGCCGCTGTGGATAATGATTCATTATGCTTTTGTTCATTGAGTTAACACTATAGGCGCACTATGTGTCCCTGTGTACATGTGTAGCTGTACGCATTGCATCAGCATATATTAGGCTTCAGGGATCAGTTAGTAATCCTGAATGGGTTGAGTCGTAAATTATCCGCAAGGAAGCAGTGATGGTGGGGATGACTACGTACGTCACCGCAGGCAACGTTTTTTTTTTTTAGTATCGTTCTGTCCCTCCAGATGGCCCCAGCTACCACCTACTTTACGACTATGACGCTCTGACACCTCCAGCCGCTTATATAACGTTGAACATCTATCTATCAAAGCTGCACTACTTAGTCGGAAAGGGTTCGCTGTGATCAAGTCTACGGTGTGGAAGCTCATCTCGTGAACTGTGGCCCCGTAAACGCATGGATGACGTCGCTACACCATATGGATTTGCGAGAAATAAATACAGCAAGCCTAGCGTGCACTCTTCGGGTGAGGACTCTGCAGTGTCCGTGTCTTTCAGAGTGAACGTCACCTCACTAGTCGAACGAAACCTACTTGATTCGTCGCTCTCCTTTGCGATGTTTTCATCACTACAGGTTCGTCTGCTTCTTTTATAATCATTTCGTTTGATATCAAGCTCAGCAGGACCGTCGTTTGTAACTTTCAGTGTCATGTACTCCTTATCAATCGAGAATTGATGCATTTGCTAAGCCTACTCACTTCGCTAACCTGGGGTCAGTCATGGTGATTTTCATAGGGAAAAACACGTTTCTCCGTGGATGAGAGAGCGACGTTTCTCTATTTAAAGACGGACAATGGGGACATTGCCGTTCCTCTCTAAATGTAGAGAACGTCACTCCATTTTTTTTTAGTGTCAGCACTTAGCAACTCTATACGTGCAGTAGGCATAGTTTGCAAGGGCCTATTCACCAGCGCACAGCTCATTTTTATGTTGGACTGTTTAGGTTTGCAACCTGAAGCGATGATAGGCTAGCGATTGAGAGAGCGACAAAAACGTGGTCCCGTTGCCCTATTGTTTCTACACTCTCCAAGATGAATCATTCTAGCCTTTAGACATCTCATTCATTTTTTTCAATAAGTTCACATTGTAGGGACATGGCATGATTATAAACACAAGGGAAGGAAAATATAGGAAGAAAAAAAAACATGTCGTAATCCGAAGTAGAAACTATTTGACGAGCGATAGTCAAAGAAATATAAAAAAACTGTTGGCGCGGTAGCTCGTGAATTTTGCCTTATGGTGATGGCCTAAATGAGCTGACCAATGAAATTATGTGGTAGCGAAGTGTTCTATAACACTAGATGATTTGTTATATTGCGGAAAAGCGCGACGCGAGCGACGTGGAGGGAAATGACATACGTAACCTAACAGACAGGAAGAGAGCAGAAATGCGTCAGGCAAAGAAGGGATGCGAAGGATATCATATTTGAAATCAAAATGAAATGCACATGAGCCTGGCACGTAGTCCTGATGAAGTATAACCTCCGGTAATTAGTGATAACTGACTGGTAAACGAGAGAAGATAAACCTGCGCGCAAGAGAGATAGGTTATTAGGTAGGTACATTAGATTAAGAAGTTTGCAGGCATACCGTGGTAGCCAAGACCACAGGACTAGGTTGATTGGCAAAACGTGGGAGAGGCATTTGCACTATAATGGTCATAGTCAGGCTGGTGAATTTAATACCTGCACAGGCGATAAAAATATGGCTGTCTTTGCGTGACAAGAACAGCCATATTTTCCTGGCCTGTGCACAAACCTAAACCGACTAGCTCAGCAAAGTACTTCCTGATGATGATGATGAAGGTGGTGATGATGATGATGATCATAATCAAGTTGTTGGCGATGCGATTCAGGTGACTTCAAGAAATTTGAGAAAAGTGTAAACGTAGGGGCTCGTTTCCTCTGTCAGGCACAACATTGTCTGTTATTTCTCACTGTTATAGTGCAGGAAAGGATGTGTTGTATTGACGTGACGCAGCTAGTGCATTTATTGCTGGCTACCATGAAGCAGGCTAGGTAATTATGTATCACTTCAATCAAGTGAGCTATGTTTGGTTGAGAAGAGTCTGAAATGAACCACGCAAATTCGAGCTTGGGACGTGCTAGTGTTTTATGCGCTGTAAGCACGGCTTGGACGCGACGGAAGCAGCATCATACCTATACGACGCGACTTCAATCACATGTCGTTACTGGTTTTAATAATAAGTTTTCAGCAGAATTCTCAGCTTGTATAAATTCATGGTTATTTAAAAATATTTAGCAATATTTGTGTTATCAAGTGTTTTATATATGACGTTATTGCTGTGTGTTTGTTTACTTGACTATATAGTAAAGTAACTATACTAACCTAATTTGAGCAACCTTTTCCTTTAATTAGCATTACCGAGGACATTCTGAGCAAGTTTCTCCAGTTCGAAGCAGACTAGGCCGGAGGACCAAGCACGTACAAAATGTGGCGTTTGTTCATTTACAGGGCATTCTTACAACTGCAGTGAACGCCACGCGCTACATCCGGAGTGCGCATTTCTCGCGCATGCTTCAGCACGTCACTGAGACGGTGGACTCGCTTACCATCGTGCGTGTGTTTCGCATGACGGAGCGCTTCTACGCGCACTTCTGTCATCTGGCCGACCAGAACCTGCGCGTGTCCCTAGCCTCAGTGACATGCAGTCGGCTGACGAGGACGTTTGCTGTAGCAGTGCAGCCAGGCAGTCGTGCTCTCCACGCTGGTGTTCACCGTCGTCGGAATCGGCACGGATGATGTGTTGGGCTCGAGTAGCATTGGCCTGGCTCTCAACTCATCATTGTCGGTGAGTGCTTTCAAAATGATAGAATACAATCAAAAGGCCAGTCCGCTTCGTTATGGCGTCTTGCATCGCTGAAGGTGCCGCTGTTTTAATGGTGGAGCACTTTACAGGGCGAAATTCTCGTATGCTGCCGGTCGTCATTTGCCTAACAGAGCAAAGCATAACCTACTGTAGCATGTTGAGTGCGCGCTCATGCCAAGAAAAAGCCTGTTCTTCCTGAAGCACATTTGTTATGACATGAAGTGTTGACATTATGACTAAGGCTAGGAAAACATGGAAACACAAATCATGTATAAAAATTGCCAGGTTAAGCAGGCGAGAGGTATAAAAGGGGAAAAAGAAAGCAATAACGATAGAAAAAAATAAGCAGGAATAAAGAGAACAAAACACAAAAGACTAAAAGAGAGCAAGAGAGGAGGAGGAAATAAAGACAAAAGTAAAAAAAAATGAGGGCTGTCCAATTTTTTCGGGCTTAAGGGCGTAATCAACACAATGTTGCTTTTTTTTAAAGACGAGCCAACTGTATCATGTCAGGAGAGTTTTCAGGTACAGCATACCCTGAAAAGTTGGAAATAGGCAGTGAAGTCTAGGGTTTGTGTGTCAAAGCTGCAATATGGTTTGGGAATCCAAAGAAAACAGAAGCTTATGGGAACATGGGTGCCTAAAGAAACGGAAAATTCTCGAACAGGAGGTTCAAAGCTCCGACAAAGAGTCTTTCCCTCTATGTTTTCGATAAAGACAAGGTCACTTGCCCTAACGTTTGCTAAAGCGACAAGCCCTGGTACTACGATTTTTTTATCTGGTTAGCAAAGCACAAGCATTATAGACAACAATAAAATACTTACAGTCTGTACAGTTCTGTTTTGGACTCGTTGGAACGACATCACAATGCCTATGTATAGAGCATGATAGTTTGGGAAATAAGAAGGGCGTCACGTGCAAATGCGCTAACTTGCAATACTCTTTATTGCGAGCCAGGAACCAAAACTATATGCAGTTTTTCACCCAGATCATCATACATGCGCTGCGTGCAAAACAATGATTCTTCTGATACAGGGAGCAGTAAAACACACGAAAGTAAAACGCTTATTCAAACAAGCACTCCAATGTTTACAGCACGTTGATGTATAACGTTATATCTGTGTATAGTGGCAAAAGCACCCTTACACTTTGAAGCACTGATGTTGGCATCTGGTGGCACTTCTCCGTCACGACGAGGAACAACTCGCAAACAGGATACATGTTCTGGATGCACAGCATTGCATACAACTGAAAATCGCTCTAATCCCGCATCAATCACAAGCGTTCTCATACCGTGCTGTCTAAACTGAACGGTTTTCACCAAGTCATTTTGTCAACTCTTGGCCTGCTGCAATGAAGCGTGCATGATTTACGGGCCGGTGAACATCCGTTAGATGTGGTTCGTTTATTGCGTTATGCTGGCGGGCAGCGTCACGCTGGCGGGTCACACCGCTGGCAAAGGTGCGATTATTTCGTTTCTGCTTCGGTGTGTCTATTGGGTGTCAGTTCCATCGTGATGTGCTCAACTTCGGAAACCCAACTTCGGAATCGCATGTTCACAGATTAGCCGAAAACATGCGAAGGCCCCCTGCTCCCCCTTGGCGTTTCACTTGCTGGGGCAAACTAACATGCGCGACATTCGCTCGTGGGCCCCATTGTGATTCGGCGGCGCTTAATACCGCAATTCTCGTAGTCGATGCCTTCACACTCGTAGCAGTAGATTGCGGAGAAACACCGTTAGTGAATATTGAAATTGCACATCAAAGCACAACGTGTAAGACAAAGCGTGTAACCACGTCGTCACAAAGTCACATCACTCGTGGCCTCCGAAGTTCTTCTGAAACACTCTCGCTGTTCATTGTAAAGGCCTCACTCTGCTGCGTTGAGTAGCACCAACGCCACGTAGGGTACTTTGATTGATGTCTGATGGCAGTGTTCGTTCAGACTCTGGCATCAAGGCACCGAACCGTAATGCTTAGGCTCATATTCAGAAACCAGCCTCGGCCTTACATCACGTTTTCCTACACGTCTTTTGCTCTCTGCATGCGTTATAAAGCACAAAAATGGTAACCGGGTGAAAGATAAGGGCAGGACTGATTTAAGAATACCAGCGTAATTTTTACATCAAGAGCAATAAAGGTAGAAAACCAATCGGAAAATCTTGAAGAAAATATGAGGTTGGTAGGTCGCGACCCACTAGAAGGCACTGGAGAGGACGACCCACTGTTCGATGGCTTTGCCACAACTACCCCGGGTACGAAAAGGGAGCCGCCTGGCGACCTAACAGGTGGTTACAATGAGCGGGTCATGGTAGGCCTTGAGGCGCTCCATGTTAACAATGTCGCGTCCTCTACGGCGCATGTCCGAAGATGGTTCGATTGGTTCAATCAAGTAGTTTACAAGGGAAGTGCATTTGACGAACTCGATAGGGGCCTTCGTATTTGGGCAATAGTTTTGAAGATAGGCCAGTTGCAGTGGTAGGAATCGAGAGCCAGACGAGCGCTCCAGGGAGGAACGTGGGCGCAGTAGTGCTGGCGTCAGAGCGAATGCTTTTTTGCCGCTCTTGATCGTGCGCAGTAAAGGTCTTTGCAAGCTCTCGACACATCTTCAGCAAGCTTGGCTGTAGCAGAAATAGGCGCCCACTCAGACGGATCTGGCTTGTACGGAAATATCGTGTCGATGGCATGCGACGGGTGCCTTCCATACAATAAAAAGAAAGGTGAAAAGCCAGCGGTGCTCTGAGGGGTGGTATTATATGCGTATGTGACGAAGGGTAGAATGGAATCCCAATTTGTGTGATCGGATGGCGACGTACTTGGAGAGCATGTCGCCGAGCAGTACGGTTGAAGCGTTCGGTGAGGCCATTCGTCTGCGAGTGGTAAGCAGCAGTTTTACGGTGAACAACGTTGCACTCTTTAGGAATGGCTTCAACGACTTCAGACAGGAAGACGCGGCCTCGGTCACTGAGCAGTTCCTGGGGTGGACCGTTTCGCAAAATGAATCGGTGGAGCAGAAAGGAGGCCACATCGGTCGCTGTAGCCGCGGGGAGAGCGGCCGTTTAGGCGTATCGCGTGAGGTGGTCCACAGCGACAATGGCCCAGCGGTTACCAGCCAACGTCAGTGGAAGCGGCATATACAAATTAATGCCAACGCGCCCAAAGGGCCTGGCAGGGCAAGGTAGAGGTTGCAGACCTACCAGTGACAGGTGCGTTGAAGCTTTTCGGCGCTGACAATCTATGCAGGAGCGAACGAATTTCTGCACGTAGCGGTACATGCCGCGCCAAAAGTACCGTTGGCGAATACGGTGGTAAGTCTTCAATACCCCAGAGTGCGCACATTGCGGATCGGAATGAAAAAACTCGCAAATATCAGAGCGCATACTGCGAGGTATGACTAGTATCCACTGGCGGCCGTCACCGTTGTAATTGCGCCTGTGGAGGAGGTCGTCGCGAACGGTGAAATGGTGGGCTTGACGACGCAACGCACGAGTGGATGGGGTGAATGGATTAGCCAGCAAGTCTATCAGTGAGGCGATCCATTGATCCTTGCGCTGTTCAGTAGCAATGGTATGAATCCTAATGGAAGAAATGGCAAGGGGAGACGCTGAGTTGTGGGCATTGTCGTCAGGCAAGGGAGAGCGTGACAGGGCGTCGGCGTCAGCATGTTGCCTTCCATTGCGGTACAGCACGCGGATGTCAGTAGTCATGCAGGCGGAGTGCCCACCGGGCGAGACGGTCTGAGGGATCTTTCAATGACGACAACCAGCATAGTGAGTGATGGTCGGTGACGACATCAAATAGGCGACCATACAAATAAGGTCGGAACTTTGTAAGGGCCTAGGCGATTGCCAAACATTCCTTCTCGGTGACGGTGTAATTTGTCTCGGCCTTATTAAGCGTATGGCTTGCATTCGCCACGACATATTCCGGGAACCCTGGTTTGCGCTGCGCAAGGACAGCGCCAAGGCTGACACCACTGGCATCCGTGTGTACATCTGTAGGGGCCGTAGGGTCGTAGTGGCGGAGTATGGGAGGCGACGTCAACAAACGATGAAGCATTGTGGAAGCGTCGTCGCAGTGTGATGACCACGAATGGAGAGGCCCGTTACTTCTGAGGAGCTTCGTCAGTGGCGATATGATAGTCGCGAAGTTTCGATTGAAGGGCCGAAAGTAGGAGCACAGCCCTACGAAACTGCGCAGTTCCTTGAGGGATGTCGGCTTGGGGAACTCGGCCACGGCCCGAAGCTTAGCTGGATCAGGGAGAATTTCGTCCTTGAACACGACGTAGCCGAGTATTGTCAGCTGCCGAGCTGCAAATCGGCACTTCTTTAGGTTCAGTTGCAGACTGGCGTCACTCAGACGCGTTAAAACATGCCGTAGGCATTGAAGATGCGTCGAGAAGTCGGGAGCGAAAAACGACGACGTCATCGAGGTAGCACAGGCACGTGTGCCATTTCAGGTCACGCAGAACAGTATCCATCATACGCTCAAAGGTGGCGGGCATATTGCACAGCCCAAACGACATGACGTTGAATTTGTACAAGCCGTCGGGGATGACAAAAGCGGTCTTCGGTCGAGCGTCCTCAGCCATAGGTACTTGCCAGTACCCTGAGCGCGAATTAAGGGATGAAAAGAATTCTGCTCCTTGCAGGCTGTCAATCGCGTCATCTACCCGCGGTAGTGGGTACACGTCCTAACGAGTGATCTTGTTGAGGCGTCGGTAGTCCACACAGAACCGCACAGAACCGTCCTTCTTCGTGACGAGAACGACAGGAGACGCCCAGGGACTGCTAGAAGGTCGATTAGCATCACGGCGAAGCATGTCGTCGACATGCTCGTTGATTACATGGCGTTCTGTGGGAGATACGCGATATGGACGTTGCCGCAGTGGTGGCTGTGTGCCTGTGTCGATGCAATAAGTAACGGTGGATGTGCGGCCGAGAGAAGGTTGGGCGACATCAAA